CCCAAGGACGCAAGGGTAGCCTGACAAGCGGGCAAACGAAAGAGGCAAAAAGGACGAGCCGCAAGAGCAAGGCAAAGCAAGGACGCAAAGGTACCCTGAGCAAAGTCGCGCGTCCTTATTAGGGTGTTTGACTGTATCATACGGTACGGTAAAGTCAAGCCGTGTCATGAGGATGCGCGGTAAGTATGCCAGGGCCTTGGAGGGCCCCGTTAGCGTTTTTCGAACGAGGTTGGCCAGCAAGAGTCGCTAAGGATGAGCCGATAGGGGGCAAGGATGCAAGGGTACCCTTGGGAAGGTTGCCCATCCTTCCTACGCGGCTTGACTGTAGACGAAATCGAAAACAAACCTTACCATCAGAAATCTAGCTCGCGCGTGTCATCGAAGCTTTGAGGTTCCGGAGGTGCCCCAGGGGTTCTGCAGGGCCCCAAGGGCCATCGGGTGACAAGAGACCTTCGTGGGCCATCGGCTGGCAGGCCAATGTTTGCTTCGACGCGCCTACTGTCTTCCTGGAGGATGAGGCGAAGGAGGAGCCTTGTCCAAGCAAGGATGCGAGAGGGGAGAAGGAGGGAAAGGACGAGTTATCCCCAGTGAGGAATATGGGGGAGGGGCAGGAGGAAGAGAAAGGGATTAGGACGAATCTGATGAGGATAATGGGGAATAGGGCGTGGACGATGGACAGGAAGGAGAGAGCGGGGATGCACCTGGATCCAGAGCAGATGAAACATCCCCAGGAGGGGACACCACATGGGAGAACGATTCCTCACTCGTGGTGCGAATGTTTGCTTTGCCGCTTACTTCTGCCCCCGTGCCCAACCATGTCTGGCCGGGCCTCCTCTTGCGCCCAGTCCCGCGAGGAAACGATTCGAGTGGACGAGTTCGGAATGTTTATCTCTCCTCTTCCTCCAACTCCTCAACCTCCTTCGTGTCTTCTACCCCCATCCTCCGCATCGTCGTCGTCCTGTTTCCTAGCCGCATGTCTACCCCTGCTGCGCCAAAGCCCTGTATTCACACAGCGCCACACGGGCCAACCCGTGACAAACCAGAGGAGGAGGATGAGGACAGGGAGGAGGAGGAGGAGGAGGAGAGAGAGAGAGAGAGAGAGAATGAGGAAAGCGATGATCATGACATTCTCTGCAGCGCTTCAATTTTAACGGAGGCCCCCAGAAGAGAATCCGAGGATCATGAGAATGATGGCGAAGAGGATCAGAGGCCATAGCGACGAAGACAAAGAACAAGACGGGAGACGATCTTGCTGCGACAAAGCCCCCGAATCCAAGATGGCAGATGCGGTCAGCCCGATCCAGCCCAGCGGACGGAACACTCCGCTGAGTGAAATGCGGACCGATCGCGCGATCGACGGTCCACGATCCGTGCTCCACGGGACAAGGGGGGGAAGGGGAAGCGAGGGACGCTGGGTCAGGGTGTGAAAAAAAAGGATGGGAGGGAGAGAGGGCCCACGGGGAATGGTGGGGACGGAGGACCCAGCCCCGACCTGCTGCCCCGATCGTAGGCCACCATCTTATCTTGCTGCCCCTCATCTTCCTCGAGCATCCCCCTCCCCATATTCCCCCCCCCATTCTTCCCTCCTCTTCCTTTCCCCACCCCTCCCCTGAGGCCGAGCTGCGATCGACCAGTCAGGGCGCTTTGAGGGCACGGCCAAATTGAGCATGGGCCATTGCTCCGCCATCCCTAGCAGCGCGCCAAGGAACCTCGCAACGCTTGCGAGGATGGGAATGGGGAGAGGTGGATGATGAGTGGCGGAGAAGGAACATCCTCAGAAAAGATGAAGAAGAGAGAAGAGACGGCGAAGAGGGGAAAACAGGAGTGATGATGCGGCGGCTGTGGGAGGAGGACAAGGGAGAGGAGGAGGATGAGGAGGATGACGAGGAGGAGGAGGAGGAACGATCAAAACAGAGAGCACACTGATGAGGAGGCGAACGATCAGGGATGAAGAGAAGGAAGATGAATGTAACGAAGGCTCAACGTACGTGTGTAGCTATATATATATATATATATATATATATATATATATATATATACTAGAACCACGCGCGCGCTTCGCGCGCGCTTAGGTCTGTCGAGTCACAGACCCAGGAATCGTTGTGAGAAGAAATTGGTGACGCGAAACGTCGCGGGGGCGTCCTTGGACGTCTGGGGTCTCCTGGGGCCTCTTGAGGGGCCTCCTGGGGGCCTCCTGGCGGCCTCTTGGGGCGGAAGGCTCGAGCTTGCGGTTCGTGGTCCCCCTCTGGGCCCCCTCTTGGGCCCGTCTTGGGGCCCTCTTGGGCCATCTTGGGCGCCTCTTGGGCCGTCTTGGGGCCCTCTTGGGCTGTCCTGGGGCCCTCTTGGAAGCTTCTTGGGCCGTCTTGGGGCGGTCTTGGGCGCCTCTTGGGCCGTCCTGTAACGTCGGAAAGCCCAAAAGACAACTTTGTTGAAAAATGTACGTTTTACGAAGGGAATGGGCCAATTTTTGCGTCTAGGGGCCCTCTTGGGACGCATGTTGGAGGCTTCTTGGGGCCTCTTGGGGGCGTCCTTGGACGTCTGGGGTCTCCTGGGGCCTCTTGAGGGGCCTCCTGGGGGCCTCCTGGCGGCCTCTTGGGGCGGAAGGCTCGAGCTTGCGGTTCGTGGTCCCCCTCTGGGCCCCCTCTTGGGCCCGTCTTGGGGCCCTCTTGGGCCATCTTGGGCGCCTCTTGGGCCGTCTTGGGGCCCTCTTGGGCTGTCCTGGGGCCCTCTTGGAAGCTTCTTGGGCCGTCTTGGGGCGGTCTTGGGCGCCTCTTGGGCCGTCCTGTAACGTCGGAAAGCCCAAAAGGCGACTTTGTTGAAAATGTACGTTTTACGAAGGGAATGGGCCAAATTTTTGCGTCTAGGGGCCCTCTTGGGACGCATCTTGTGGGAGGCTTCTTGGGGCGTCTTGGGGGCGTCCTTGGACGTCTGGGGTCTCCTGGGGCCTCTTGAGGGGCCTCCTGGGGGCCTCCTGGCGGCCTCTTGGGGCGGAAGGCTCGAGCTTGCGGTTCGTGGTCCCCCTCTGGGCCCCCTCTTGGGCCCGTCTTGGGGCCCTCTTGGGCCATCTTGGGCGCCTCTTGGGCCGTCTTGGGGCCCTCTTGGGCTGTCCTGGGGCCCTCTTGGAAGCTTCTTGGGCCGTCTTGGGGCGGTCTTGGGCGCCTCTTGGGCCGTCCTGTAACGTCGGAAAGCCCAAAAGACAACTTTGTTGAAAATGTACGTTTTACGAAGGGAATGGGCAATTTTTGCGTCTAGGGGCCCTCTTGGGACGCATGTTGGAGGCTTCTTGGGGCCTCTTGGGGGCGTCCTTGGACGTCTGGAGGCCATCTTCAGCATCTCGGAGCCCTCTTGGAGGCCTCTTGGAAGTTTCTTGGGCCGTCTTGGGCGCTCCTGGGGCCGTCTTGTCTGACCGGGGAGGCCTCCGGCAAGCCCCGACGAGCCTCCGGGCCCCCCGGAGCCCACATTTGTGGTCGAGGTCCCGGCCCCGGGCCCCCGGACCCGGTGCGCCGTATGTGTGTATATATATATATATATATATATTATATATATATGTAGAGTTAAACATGGTAATACTATTTGATAGCTGTGTACACCTATTTATACATATAAACAACTCAGCCACCCATCCCCCTCAATTGTCTCCCTCGCCGCCTGTCCTCCTCGGCCTCGTCCTCGTCCTCCGTTTCCCCCTCCTCACCCGGATCCGACTCCAGCCGGTCCTCGTTCCCATCGCTGTCTTCCTCATGTTCATCTTCAACACGCTCCTGCATCTGATCCGCATCCTCCCCATGTTCACCCTCCATCTCCTGCTGCAGCCGTGTCCTGATCCTGATAATCGCCCACGTCCTCGTCCGAATCTTCCTCCTCATCCTCTTCCCTACCTTTTTCCGCAACCTCATGATCACCGTCATTCTCTACATTGTTTTGCTGCTGGTCCTCGCGTAGCCCCCTTTCATGCTCTTCCGTTCTCGACGACGCCCCCTTTCTTCTCCGCCTGATCTTCCACGCTCACTGATCCAGCCTCTCTCGTCATCATCCACATCTACCCCGCCATCACCACCGCACCACTCCTCCACCCCCTCCCCCTCCCCCTCTCTCCAAACCTATCCTCCCTCCGCTCCTTCCCTTCCTGCGAAAATAGGAGGCGGGCGGAGGGAAAGATATGATGAGGAGGAGGACAGGTAACATGGTAAAGGGCGACACGTACACACATACTCAAGCACACACGCACACACACACACACACGCTCACACACAAACGCACCGCACACACACACACACACGCTCCCCAAAAAAGAAAATATACGCACACGCACACATCAACAAACACCACACACACACACACACACGCACGCACGCACGCACGCACGCACGCACGCACGCACGCACGCACGCACGCACGCACGCACGCACGCACACACTCACACACACACACACACACACACACGCACACACACAGACACACACACACACAAACACTATCTGGCGTTGCACAGATAGCGTGCGACAGCCATCTCCGACACACACGCTATCCCTGTGAGGCGACCGCCCCGCGGGTGCCTCTTCTGGGCTCTCCTTCTGCGAGGGCCTCGTCGGTGCACGCTATCCCCTCACCAGGGCTTCCTCGGTGCACGCTTATCCCCAGGGTGGGGGGATAGCGTGTGATGAGCGGGCCGGCAACGCCGCATCGCACGCTGTCTTTGCCACGCCAACCGTAATGACTGGGAGAGGGAAACCGTTGGAGGAGGAGGCGGAGGAGGAGGCGGAGGAGGGGGAGGAGGAGGAGGAGGAGGAGGAGGAGGAGGAGGAGGAGGAGGAGGAGGAGAGGAGGAGGAGGAGGAGGAAGTGGGTACCTCACGAAGTTCGTGAAGACCAGGAAGGAGGGCGGCTTGGAGCCGACCTCGTCCAGCAGGGCGTACAGCCTCCGCGCGTCCACGGGCGGGGCCCCGGCCGCCGACCAGGAGGGGTCGAACGTCTTCGACTTCGGGTGGAACGCCTCGACGCTCATGGCCTGGACACGGTCGGCGGCGAGCCCAGGGGGGAAGGAGGAGGAGGAGGAGGAGGAGAAGGAGGAGGAGGAGAATGAGGAGGAGGGGGAGGAGGAGGAGGAGGAGGAGGAGGAGGAGGAGGATGAGGAGGAGGAGGAGGGGGGGGGCGGGCCGTCTCAGAAGGCCCGGAAGGCCCGGAAGGCCTTCGGAGAGGTGTTCTCAGCCTTTCAGAGGGCGCGAGGGTTCCCGAGAAACCCCACCGCCTTCTGGGGAGGCCTGCTCCCACCCACTTCTCCCCAGGCGCGCCGCCGACGTGAGGAGCCGGGCGTCCCGAACTTCGCGTATCGCGGCGTCGTGCGGCCCGCCTTTCTTGGCACTCTCGTGCCGCCCCCCCACCCCTCACCCTCCCCCCCAGCGAAGGAGGATCCCCCTGCGATCCAGATCGCCAAACGCGGTTGCCTTCGCGCTCCTGCCGGGACGCGGTGGTGCTGCGTATGTGTGTGTGCGCGTGTGTGCGTGTGTGTGCGTGTGCGTGCGTGTGCGTGTGTGTGTGTGTGTGTGTGTGTGCGTGTGCGTGTGCGTGTGCGCGTGTGCGTGTGTGCGTGTGCGTGTGTGCGCGGGTGTGCGTGTGTGTGTGTGTGTGTGTGCATCCTTTCTCCGCCTCGCTGCTGCGCGCCAGGCCGCGACCGCCAAGAAGTGTGTGCGCATCGTTCCGCCCCCAAGCGGGCCTGGAGCGGCGCCGCACGCGCCCGGCTGTCGTGCATCTTTGGTTTTCTGCACGTGGAACCGCTTGTCGATTAGCCTCGATCGACATACGTTCGGTGGTAATCACGTTAGCGCATCCCGCTAGCGCCTTGGCGCTAAAATGGACCAATCGGCCGGGAAGCACAAACGAATGCTGAGTTGGGCCAGCCAACCAGGAAGCAACACACTGTGAGTGCGTGCGTCGTGCGAGATCAGACATGTGCGTACGACGCCTGCCATTTGCCAGCTGATGCGCAACTCATCTCTCGTCTCCAGGACCCGTCTGTGCTTGCGAGCGTGCGTGCGTGCGTGCGTGCGGACGGGCGTGTGTGTGTGTGTGTGTGTTTGTGTGTGTGTCGTCACAGGTAGGCCTTCGGACGCAGCGCCAAGAAACCCCACCCCAGCCCAGGACACTGCCTGAGCGAGGCCGCCTGGCATCCAAGAGAAGGCTGAGATGGTTTCGTGCACTGGAGGCCTGGAGGGGGGAGGGCCGGGCCGGACGAGGCACGACGAAGGCTGCGGCGTCTTTCACTGAGCCCCTGGGAACGGGGGCGCGCTGCAGGGGATGCCTGTCAACACCACAGCACGCAAGGATCCGCGATATTGATCTGCGCCACCCGGTCGGCAACGGCTCCTGTTCCGCTGCGACGTCCCTCCGTCGCGCAGGGTCGCCGTCCCGGACATGCGAAGCCCCAATTTTTTCAGGACGGTGTCCCTGGAAGTCCCGACCTCTTTTCCCTGGGACCGGCTTTTGGTCCCGAGTCGTGTTTTGACGGTCCCGAGGCCCGGCGAGGGCCCCCCCGGGGGCCGAAAACAGCCCCAAACCTCCCATCCTGATTTGTTGAACGACGCGATCATGTCTGGGCTGCGACGTCCCTCTGTCGCGCAGGGTCGCCGTGAGGTGTCCTCCCGCTTCACGGCGCCCGCCGCGGGACGGGCACGTCAGTCTGCCCTGGCCGGCACGTCCCGTGCCGCGCGCCGCGCGCCCATCCCGAGCCTCTCCAGGATGTCGCTCTCCGGGCCCAGAACCTCGAGCTCACTCTCCAAACGTGCCCTGCACATGGCCACTTGCTTCGCGTGCGTGCCTTGGTCCACTCTCGTGCCCCGTGCGGGAATGGCCTGGACCTTTTCTCACGCCCGCCGGGCCGCTCGTGCCATTGATCGTCTGACCTGCCTATTGTCAAGTCGGGCCTGTCCCCCTACAGGGGGATTTTCGACGAAACAAAAATACCCCCAGAATAATCAAAATTACCCCAGTGCGACCCTACCTAGAAGTTGGAGCCCCTAGGAAACCAGCATTAGTTGCTACGCTATACAATGCTATGCTATACCATGCTATTATGCGCTATGCTATGCTATACTATGCTATGCTATGCAATGATGCGCTATGCCATGATATGATATACTATTATGCTATGCTGTGCTAAGCTATGTGTTGTCATGTTGCGCTGTGCTATGCCAAGCTATGCTATGCTATGCTATGCTAAGCTGCGCTATGCTATGCTATGCGACGCTATGCTATGATATACTATGCGACGCTATGCTATGATATGCTATGCTAAGCTATGTTATGCTATGCTATGACATGTGATGTTCATGCAGCGCTGCGCTATGCTAAGCTAAGCTAACCCTCTAGGCAGAGCCTAGGTATGGAATTACACCCATGCTAATGCTATGCTATGCTCTGCTATGCTATGCTATGCTGCGCTGTGCTATGCTGTGCTTTGCTGTGCTGCGCTATGCTATGCTATGCTATGCTGCTATGCTATTATATGCTATGCTGGGCTATGCTATGATATGCTGTGCTGCGCTATGCTATGCTACGCTCTGCTATGCTATGTTGTGCTCTGCTATGCTAAAGCTAGGTGAAGCTAAGATGAAGGTAAGCTAAGCTAAGACAAACCTGAGCTAAGATGAAGCTAAGCTAAGCTAAGATGAAATAAGCTAAGCTAAGATGAGATAAGCAACGCTAAGCTAAGGGGACGCAACTGAGGGAACTGCGGGGCGGATGCCGGGGGTACCGCCCGGGGCGTGTTCCACTGCCCCGCCCCTTTAAGCTGAGACAGTAAGAACCCTTCTAGGCAGAGCCTAGGTAGGGAAATAATGAAACAATAGTCTGGGGACTATTTTTTTAAAGTATGTTGTTTTGCCTTTTTGGGGTATGTTTGGGGTATTGTTTATTTTTCGTCGAAAATCCCCCTGTAGGGGGACACGCCCGACATAAGCCTATTGGGAAGCGCTCGTGCAGCTCGAGGGGCGAGGAAGAGAAGCGAGGAGGGGGATGACGACGCGGGCCACCGACGTCTCGCCCGGCCTTCCTCTGACAAGGGGACTGCGGCGCGCACGCGGGAGTGGGGGCGCGAAACGGGTGGTCTTCTGAGAACAAGGGCGCGGCTGCTAAGAAGGGGGCGGGCTTCTGACGAGCTCTCCCGGCTGCTACTGAGCCTTCTTGAACGCATCTAGGCCTTCTCAGAAAGGGCACTGCCTCCTGAGACGCCCCCCCCACCTCCCTAGAGTGCCGCCCCCCCGCGCCCCCGTCACCTCTGCGGGCTGCCAACCTGAACATGCGACGTCCTCATTTTTTCAAGACGGTGTCCATGGAAATCCCGACCTTTTCCCTGGGACCCGTTTTTGGTCCTGAGTCGTTTTTTGACGGTCCCGAGGCCCGGCGAGGGCCCCCCAGGGCCGGAACTAGCCCAAAACCTCCCGTTCTGATTTTGTTTACGGCGCGATCATGTCTGGGCCTCGAGCGTCTTGCCCACCACCTCGAGGTTCTCGTTCTTCCTGAAGTGGACCAGCTGGCCCCCCTTGCCGGCGGAAACCTCCGGCAGCGCAGTCCCACCGCTCCGCGGACGCTGCTTCGCTGTATGGTTTCTCTGAAATTCACGTGCTTCCGATGTTTCAGAATAGTGCTCACGCTGCAGCGTCGTGGGCCTCATTTTCGGATGCGCTCTCGCACCAACGCGGGCCACTTATCTAATTCCGAGAATTTCTTCATCGTTGTCGCCCCCCTCAGTTACCCTCCTCCGTCTTCCCCTGCTCCTCATTTCCCTCCCGATCCTTCCATTTTAATTCCTGCTGCTGCTGTTCGATCGCCCGCCCATCCTCCTGCTCACTTGACACCTCCCCCTCCTCCTGTGCACGCAGCTCCCCTTTTCTTCCGATTGCGCATAACGCGAAATAGGCTTTCTATGTGAGTCGCAGGTCGGCTATGACACGCATCCGCAAATTGAAAAAACTCAACGCCTGTGTACGGGATAGGGGGGAGGGATAGGATGTCAGACGAGGCGCGAGCGCACTTAGCTTGTCCCCTCCCCCCTCTTCCCCCACTCCACCTCCTACCCCTTCCTCTTCCCCTTCTCGTTCCTTTCGTCCCCCCCCTCCCCCTCCGTTCCCCCTCTTCCTCCTCCTGCTCCTCCTCCTGCTCAGCCACCTCTCTTCGTGAACGTCTAGTCCTCCTACTCGTCTGGTTGAAGTGGTTGGGCTGAGCCCCCTCTTGACGGCGGCGACCTCCATCAGCGCGGATCATTGCTTGGCGACGGGAACTTTTGTTAGGGCCTCCCCCTCCCACTCTTCCTCTTTTTCCCTACCTAGGCTCTGCCTAGAACGGTTCTTACTCTCTATCTGAAAGGGGCCGGGCAGTGTTGCCCGCCCCGGGCGGTTCTCCCAGTCCCCGCCCCGCGGTTCCCCCAGTTGCGCCCCCTTACCTTAGCTCTGCATATCTCATCTTAGTTTAGCTTAGCTTAGCTTAGCTTCATCTTAGCTTCGCGTAGCTGTAGCTTAGCTTAGCTTAGCTTATCATAGCAAAGCCCAGCATAGCATAGCATAGCGCAGCATATCATCGCATACCATAGCATAACATAGCATAACATAGCGCAGCATAGCATAGCATAGCGCAGCATAGCATGGCATACCATAGCCTAGCACAACATAGCGCAGCCTAGCGTAGCATAGCATAGCGCTGCATAGCAAAACCAAAAACAAAACAAAGGAAAGGCAAAACAACATCGATGTGTAACAGTACGATCAGAGAGCCCACCCGGTGAGCGAATGCAAAAATATGCGTGTGTTTGCGAAGGCAAAGCAAAAGCATAAGCAAGCAAAAACAGCAACAAGCAAAAGCAAAGGCAACTACGACGATGAGGAGAAGGAGGAGGACGGCGTTTACCGTTACTACTAATGCTGCTTTCCTAGGGGCTCCAATTCCTAGGTAGGGTCGCACTGGGGTAATTGAAGACGGCGATGCTTGCTTCGTGCGTCAAAACGTAGGGAGGATCACATGGGGGCCTTGGGTGCTGGAACCGCTTGTCCCTTTAATGCATTGTGCCGCTCCACCTCCTCCACAACCTCCTCCTCCTCCCAGATCCTCGTCTATTCTCACCAATCTTATCATCCCCTCCCCCTCCCCCTTCTGCCCCTCCTCCTGCCTCTTCTCCCCCCTCTCCCCCTCCCTCTTCTCCTCCCCCAGCTCCACGACTACTCAACGTGAATGCTACTCTCATCTCCCCCGAAGATGGCTGGGGAGTCGCCCGCCCCCCTCCGCGTACTGATTTTGTACAAACAAGTGTTCAAGCCTTGGTGTCTCAAAATAGTGCTCACGCTGCAGCGTGGGCCTCGTTTTCGGATCGCCGTTTCGAATGGCGCTCTCGCCCCGCCTCGGGGCACACCACTTCCTGGATCCGAGCCTTTCCTGATCGTGGCCGCCCCTCCTCCGTTCCCACCCCTCCACCTTCACCTGCTCTCCCTGCTCTTCCCGCTCCCTCTGCTCCAGCTCCTGCTGCCGCTGTTCGTCGTCCTCCTCCTCCTCCTCCTCCTCCTCCTCCTCCTCCTCCTCCTCCGTAGCCATTTTGGCTCAAGCTAGCCTGGGCGCCTCGACCGGCGCCCGCGGCTTGGGTTTACACCATGGCGATGCCAGCGGCGGCGACCGGGGCCGCGGCGCTCACCGGCAGGGCGGCGGCGGCCAGCGCCCGCGCCGATGGCGCGACGGCCGCATCCGCCGCGCTCGTCGCGGAAGCCTCGGCCTGCGATGCCGCGGAGGAGCACCTCCTCACGCGGGCTGGGCGCGCGGGCGACTCCTCCTCCTCCTCCTCCTCCTCCTCCTCCTCCTCCTCCTCCTCCTCCCCCCCCCTCCTCCTCTCCTCCTCCTCCTCCTCCTCCTCCTCCTCCTCCTCCTCCTCCTCCTCCTCCTCCTCCTCCGGCCCAGGCCGCCACCAGCACTCGGCCGCACAGCGCGGGCACCGTGGCGAGGGACCTCTCCCAGGTCAGGGCCTCCCCAGCGCCGCCAAGGTGGCGAGGCGCGTTGGGAGGCGCGGCGGGCGAGGTCGCCACGCCCAAAACCCGCCAGCGGAGCCCGGGCTGCAGGCGGCGCGGGACGTGGCCATGCCAGCTGCGGCGGTGGGGGCCCTGCGCTGCCGCACCCAGGACGGCGACCTCCGCGAGCAGCCCTGCGTGGTTCGTCGGCTCGGACGCGGAGGCCGACAAGGTTGGGGAGATGTCTGTGGAGGGGCAGGACACCGGCGTTGGCAAGGACACCACCGAAGAGGCCGTCGCGGAGCTGCACGGCGATGGCCTGCTCGTGGGCGCGAAGCCCGCCAAGGATACGGTGGTCGGCGAGTTCGAGGAGGACGACGGCTTCGACGCGCAGCATGCGCAGGACAGGTTCCTGGACATCAGAGATCTGCTTCTCGAGCTGCGGGTGGACGTCCCTGCGTTTAGCCTCAGCCTCCACCAACGCCTGAGCGAGTCGTACCGAGCATCGATGTATGTGGCTCCCGGGGACGCGTATCGCATGCTGCAGGTGCGTGGCTTATACGTGGACGAGAAGGACGAGGGTCTTCTCGAGTACGTGGACGGCACCAACCTGGAGGAGAACCCCCAGGGTAAGCACGCCAACTGCGTGAAGGGGGCGCTGGGTGACGACGTGGTCGACGCGATCGACTCCGAGGGTGACGCGCAGAAGGTGCTCGACAAGGATGTGCACGAGATGGACCTGGGTCTTCCCGAGGACGTGGACGGCACCAAGGCGGTGCAGGTTTCCCTCGAGGACGCGAAGGACGTGCTGCAGGTGTTCGGCCTGGTCGAGGACGTGGTGTTCCAGGGTCTTCGCGTGGACGACACCAAGTTCGTGAGCACAGGAGTTCGTGGCTATTTCGAGGACGCGTATGGCCTGCTACAGGTGCGCGGCACGGACGTGGACGAGAAGAACGTGGGTCTTCGCGAGGACGTCAACGGCACCAAAGATCTGTGCGATGTCACCGTGCTCGCGCCGGTCGACAAGGAGAGGGAGGTGGAGCCCAGTGTAAGCCCGCCGATGTCGTAACGGCGGCGCTGGTGGACGACGTGGGCGAGCCGTTCGATGCGGACGGCAATCAACGTGTCGAGGTGTCCGAGGCCTCCGAAGCTGCCGAGGCGTCCGCGGCGCGGTTCGGGGAAGGCGACAGCATCATCGACGTGGCGAAGCAGATTCAGATTGGGGAGCAGACGATGCGTGACATCAAATGCGCCCCAAACTCCATGGCCACCGACTGGCTGAAGGCGATGATTGTCGCGGAGTCCGAGGACGACGTCACAAAAAGGCGATCGGCGGCGTGGTCCGTGACGTCTTCGACGAGAGCGGCTACGAGGGCGGGCGGCGCAAGCGGGTCCTCCAGCGGCAGTTCGTCCCCAAACTGCTGGCCCCGACAAAGTGATCGAGATGGAGGAAGACATCCAGCGGCTCCAAACCGCCATCCGTGAGCTGTGGCGCGCGCGGCGCCCGCGCAAGCGCAGGTGATGCGCGGTGGACGGCCCATTGGCTGCTGGATCTTCCTCGCAATCTCGTGCGGCGGGCCTGGCGTTTTGGAGTCCTGGCCGCTGGGGTTGGGGTGGCCGTTGGCGGCTGCGTGGCCCCTTTTGGGCCTTGGTCCCCAGTGGCCTCGGGTGGCCTTGGTGTTGCCCGTCCGTCCCCGCGGGGGTGGCTTCGGTCCGCCTGGATTGCCCGTGGGGTAGGTTAAGCTGGGACCGAAGCCTGTCGGGGCTGCTTCGGGGTCCCCTCGTCGCCTGGGCGCCTGGTCCAGCTCCGTCGCGTGCTGGCGACGGCGAGACTCTCTGACATCTGGGGGCCCTGGCGGCCGTGAGCGTACAGACGGTCGCCAGGGCCTCTTTGATCGTGTCGGGCGAAAGGGGGGGATAGCAAAAGGGGGGTTTGAGAATCAGCTCACGTAATTGATTTTTCCGGCGCCTCCCGGCGCCGGAGGTGACGATGTATCGAGGAATGGGCCCCTCGGTGGGGCCGAAACCAGCTGCATGCAGCAAATTTCGTGACCCCCCCTTTCCCGATCCCCCCCTTTCGTCCGGCCCGATTTGATGCTGCTCCAGCCCTCCTCCTCCTCCTCTTGGGGCAGATCGGCCAGGTCGCCTGCCTGGTCGGTGGCGATCGTGGGCGGCGACGGCGCACGGACCCGAGCCCCGGCCCCGAGCGGGTCACTCCCAGGCAGCAGGCGACGGTGGCGCACACCTTCGAGTCGACCCCCGCGGGAGCACGGATCGGAGTTGGCTTGCTTCCGGGGTAGGCACCTGCAGGGGGGGCCCAGTTCTGGGGCGGAGAACACCTAATCGGACCCATCTGTTTTTATTGCGCCCTGTGACCCCCGCAAAATTTCAGGCGGGCGCGCGAGTGCGCAGGATAATCGAGGCACTGGCAAGTATATAACAGTTGGAGCAGCGCAACATCCATTAGCGCCACCACCAGCGTCGAGCAGGAGTGCGGGCGCGGCGCGACGACTGCTCTCCGTAGTCAGAGCGACTAGTTCCCCGGCCACTTTGCGCAACGGCGCAGAGGCCCGCGAGAGCGACGTCACGCCGGCAGCAGTGGAAGCCAGCTCGAAAGCCTAGCGGACGCTCACGCGCGCCGCTTGATCCGCGAGAGGCGCAACGAGGGCGACGGAGGGAGGGAGAGGGAGGGAGAGGGGCTCCGCAGGAGGCAGACAAGGAGGGAGGGGGCTGGGCCGCTCGATCGACTGGCACGCGCGTCGCGCGGCATCGCGCGCATGCAGATGGTGCGATGCGCTTTCCCCCTGGGCCCCGGACCACCAAGCGGAGGATCCTGCAGGGGGATCCTGCTGGGAGGGCGGTCTCTTGTCAGTGGAGGTGGCCGCACCATTTGGCGAACATTACTAAGCGCACACTGAAACAAAGAAAGCTGTAAAGTCATACAAGCCTAACAACATACCGAGAGTCACTGAACACCAGAAATGGCTGGAAAAATGAGAAACCACATACACTGGCGACACCAAAAGGTACCCATACCGCTACTCCCCGGACCTCTCCCGGAGTGCGTTCCGACCAGGATTTCGGAGCGAGTCGCGCGGTGGCAACGAGGGCCTCCGAGGAGGCCCCACGAGGGGAAAACGGGCGAAGGGTAGCGGCATGGGTACCTTTTCCTCCTCGGAGGCCCCTCCTCCCTCCTCCCTCCTCCTGCTTCCCTCCTCCCTCCCTCCCTGGCACGCTCGGAGCGTGCCAGGGAGGGAGGGAGCGGCGCCGCCCGGGGCGGCCCCGCCCGGAGGGGCCGGCGCCGCTCCAGGACCTCCGCGCGCGGACCTCCGAAGGCTCCGCGGCGGGGTGGCTGCAGGTGCCCGCGGCCCGAGGCGCCGCCAGCTCGCCTGGGAGGCCACGTGCGAACCTCGGCTGCCCCGACACGCAAGGCGCAGCACGTAGCGTCTCGAGGCGGAGCTCGACGCGTGGGCTGGGAGCGCAGATCTGACGAGATGCGTTCGCCAAAACGTGGGCCAATACGCTGAGCCAACACGCAACGCCAACACGCAACGCGTTGACACGGACGTTCTGAGCACGGTACGTGTTGCGTATCAAAAGGGGTGTACCGAGGCAGCTGAGATGCGAACCCTACCCCACCACACCACGATTTCTAGGGGGGGCATGGGGTTCACTTCGTTGGGGACCTCCCGAGCGACGTGAATGAACCCCGCCCCCACCCTCAGAAATCGAAGGGTGGTGGGGTAGGGTTCGCATGTGGCCTCCCATGTTCGCTCAATTCTGGAGCTCCTGGGCCCTCTGGGCCTCGTGAGGGCTGCTGCTCGGGAGGCCGTGGGGTCATTGGAAGTCCTAGGGGCACCTTGGGCCGGGGGCACTTCTGGCAACACCCGAAGCGAGGCCGAGAAAATCGTCGAACGCCACTAGTGATCGTCTGACGGGGCAGCCAAGCGGGAGCGGCCAAGGGGGGGGGGGTCCAAGAGGGGGGGGGGTGCAAATTTTGACCGGCGGCATGTGCGCGGCCCAGCGGGGGGGCCAGGGACGTAATGGAATAAGAAGAGGCGCCATGAAATCTGGGGAGATCTCATGGCCCCCGCCATGATATCCACCCCACCCCCCTGGTCATCACCCCCCTCTCTGCCGCTCCCGAGCCAAACAAGGAGGCAGCCCGCAGGACCACGGCTGCCGCGGATCGGCCAGGCCCGTTGGCCGGCGGCCCGCCACCTCTGGCAGCTCCAGGTCGAGCCTGTCGACGTCCATGCGCAGGTGGGTCCTTCCCCGCCCCCCCCCTTCGGCGACCGAGGCAAGCACTTACTGGGCCCATTTTCCACCACCGCTACCATATGCAGGAGGGGGAGGAGGAGGAGGAGGAGGAGGAGGAGGAGGAGGAGGAGGAGGAGGAGGAGGAGGAGGAGGAGGAGGAGGGGAGGAGGAGGAGGAGGAGGAGGAGGAGGAGGAGGACCTCCTCATCCTGCATATGGCAGCGGTGGTGGAAAATTGGCCCATCATCACTGCGCTGCGCTGACCACTCGTGCGAAAGGGAGGGGTCGCGGAGCAGACGACGGCATAGCCTCCGTGGCTGCGCGCTGAGTTTGCTCTTTGGTCGGCGTCGGACCCACGTGGCGGCACCCCGGCGGCCCCTCCGCGTGCCAGGGAGGGGGCTCCAGCGCCGATCCAAGAAATCCGCGCGGGCCTGCGACAATTTATGTTTGCACACTTCTCTGCTAGTTCTTCGAGAGGAAGAAGGGGAGGTTTGGGATGAGGAGCGAGGAGGGTCGCCGGCGGCGTTCAACGTTGAGCACTGGCGGCTGGGTCGCCGCTGGTCGATACGACACGAACCTACCGTACTCGCAAATGGCCAGGATCCGCCGCGGGGGATTGACGATCCATTACGTCGAGACAGACATTTCTTGCCGGAGGAGTACGAGTAGGCACTTCGCGAGTAGTGGAACGCGCTCCGCGATAGATGCTCGTTCTGCGGACGCCCCTGGATCCACTCCCTCCTCTCGTGCGCGGATGCTGCGTCGATCGTCTGCCGATCTGACTCGAACCTGCGCCGAGCCCGAGTCGAGCTGCAGTCGAACCAGGGTCGCACTGGGAGGGCCCCAGGAAGGCCCCCCGCCACGAACACACGAACACCTGGCCTCCCCGGCTCCTTGGCAGGAGCGTGCAGAGGGAGAGCTGGCCGGCGGTGTGCTCGCCCGGGGTGTTCGGAATCTCCACGAGGAAGACGTCCTCCGGACGCCTCGGCCCGGCGGGCCGCGGGGAGACGCCCGCGGACCACGACTGGGATGTCGTGAAGGATCTGGCCGGCGCCGCTCTGGGCCACGGTCCGTGCCAGCCGTCGCCGATTCGCGAGGAGGATCCACGGATCTCGGCGGCGAGCCAGGGGGGGAAAAGAGAAGGGAGAGGCCTTTTCAGAAGGCGGCGGGACTTCTCGGAAGCCCACGCGCCTTCTGAGAAGTTTCTTGTGTCCTCAAGGAAGGCTTAGGAAACTTCTCACGAGGCTTCCGAGCCTTCTGAAAAGGCCTTCTCCTTCTCACTTCCACCCCTCGCTCGCCACCGAGAATCAACGGTGACCAAGATCGACGGTGACCAGGATCGGCACCGAGGCTTCCGCGCTCAATTTTAATCATGGATTACGTTCTTTTCCCCGAACATCCACTCCGATAATAAGCACCCCGACACGCGAAGCCGTTTAGTAAACGCACCCCAAGAAGGAATCGAACGGGGCAGGGCTGTTTAGTAAACGCCCAGGGCCGTTTAGTACACGCCAATGCTCGGGTCTGGATAGTTTTCCCTCCCTTGATGCAAGATCTAGTTTGGCGATGAATGGTCGGCGGCTGGTAAAAGACATGGCAATCGAAATCTGAGACGAGCAAAAACATAACGTTCCGAAGGTCCCCGCAGACTTCTTGGATCGGCGCTGGCGCCGCCAAAGGGGGTGGCCCGCGCCGATGCGGGAGCTCCGCGCGGCGCTCCGAACCTTCAGCTCGTGCACTCCTGCACCCTCGGAGCATGCAGCATGCATGCGCTCGTACGCGTGTGGCGGGCTCCCGAAACCCTGGACCACACAGCCTTGCCATCTCCTGGGGGCCCGCTCGTACTTCCGCCGGGCTCCGCTGGCCTTCCGCCCGGCGGAGGCGGCATCGCCTTGCTTCCGACGGCCTCCGCCGCCCCGTCTGCCGAGGAGGTGGCAGCTCCTTCCGAGAGCCTCGGCCCTCGAAGGGAAAGGCCCTCTCTGGAACGCGCCCCGTGCAGTCATGCCCAACAGGGGCTCGACCACAGGACACCTTCCGCAAGAGACCCAGCCCTGGAACCCCAGGAAGCCCCTCGATGTTTGGTATGGGAACGTCACGCTCTCCAGTGGCAAGGCACCGAAACCCAAAACCCTGGGCACCCTGGAGGCAAGCTGGGCGCAAGCCCCTCGATGTTTGGTATGGGAAGGTCACGCTTTCCATGGCAAAGCCACCGAAACCCAAAACCCTGGGCACCCTGGAGGCAAGCTGGGCGCAAGCCCCTCGATGTTTGGTAGGGGAACGTCACGCTCTCCATGGCAAAGCCACCGAAACCCAAAAAACCCTGGGCACCCTGGAGGCAAGCAGGGCGCCTCCTGGCACGGGCTTCCGCTGCATGTGGCCAGCGAGGGCCCCCCTGCGGCTGCGGGTCGCCTCCTTTTGGAAGGGGCCCCAGGACACACGATAGAAATACACACCAGTAAATGGATTCCCCATCTGTTCCCCATATTTTCAGGGTTTTTTTGTCTTCCCCCCCACTTCCTATATTTTCCCATCTTTTCCTGGGAGTCGTCGATTCATTGTGTCTCTGTGTTTTTTCCCCTCCTGACCTGCGGCTGCTGGTCGCTTCCTTTTGCCCGTGGCCCGGGGGCTGACCCGCTGCCCCTGCCGAGCACGGGAGGCAGCGTGTGCGGTCGGCAACTTCTGGGCAGCGTGCTGCCGCGGCGGCCTCGGCGACGTGCTGTGCACTGCGAAGTGGATATACAGACGCGCCGCTCCGCCGCGGAGGGGCGGGGGGCCCGGAGAGCTCGGGAGGTGGACGCTCGGGGACCCGACGTGGACAGCGTGTCGCCGGCCAGAACCGGCGGACCGACCAGCTGTCCACACGTTCCCCCGTACGCGCACGCGGAGCAAGCCTCCGTCACCGCGGGATCTCCTGGACCCCGTTCGCGTCGTGAAGAGATCGCGGCGGGCATGCTCTTTCTGTCGTTGTGTTTTCGGCCTCTGGGGGCCCTCGCCGCCCGGGACAGTCAACACACGGCTCGCGATGAGAAATCGGCCCCGGGGGACGCGTATTGAGCCAAAGAACGACGCATCAAAAGTGACAGGGGAACAGAACTTCTGCCACCGCGGAAGTCGCAGATCGCAAGCCCCGCACGGGATGCACGCGGAGCGTCTACTGCTGGGGCTGGCGCCGATGGTAGGCGGTGCAGTTCTTGAAGTCTCGCAGCGTCCCCACGATGAGCAGCTCGAAGAGGAGGGAGTCCACGTGCGAGGGGAGGATGTGTGCCAGGTCGATGTGCACCACGGTCGGTAGCTTGGGGCTGGTTGGATCTGCTAGGAGAGCAGCAACCAATGTCGACACGTCGGTGGTCTCGCGGATCTCAACGCGGTTCAAGACTGGCTGGTTCTTCAGGGACGCCTGCAGCAACGCGATCCTCCTCCTCCTCCAAGACCTCATCCCCCTCCCTCTCCACACGTGTCCCGTCGCAGGGAGGCCAGAAATGCCCATTCGTTTTTTTTCGGCCGGACGGAGTCATCTCCCCAAGCGCCTTATCTTACCCTTGTCATCCTTTTCCCCTCCTCCTCCACTCCTCCCTTCTCTCCTCCTCCTCCTCCTCCTCCTCCTCCTCCACTCCTCCCTCCTTTCCTCCTCCTCGCTCTTCTCCTCCCGCTCCTCCTAACTCCCTCTTGATCCCTCCCGCTCCTCCTCCCTCTCCTCCTCCTTCTCCTTCTCCTCCCGCTCCTCCCCTCCTCCCTCTCTTTCTCATCCCTCCTCCTCCTCCTCCTTCTCCTCCCGCTCCTCCTCCCTCTCCTCATTATTCTCCTCCTCCCCCCCCCCTCGCTCTTGTTCCCTGCACTCCTTCCCTGCCTCCTTCTGGCCCTGCCCTGGCGGCGTGGACACCCATCGCCCGGCCCCTCGAGACAGGGGCGGGGGGGTCCCACGGCGGGCACTCGCCGGACGGCGGCGCCCGGCCGCCGCCATGGTGCCAACCCTGGGCGGCTCCCGCGCCCCAGCCGCAGACCCAGACCTCCTCGCGCGGTGACAAACATCACGACGTCGGGGGTCTGGGGCTCCCGCGCCCCAGCCGCAAACGTGGTCCTCCTCCGACGCAGCAGCTGCCGGTGGCCTCGTGCCCGCCGCTGGCAGACGTTGTATTGAATTCCTGCCCCTCCTTTCCTCCTCACTCCTCCTCCTCCTCCTCCTCCTCCTCCTCCTCCTCCTCCTCCTCCTCCTCCTCCTCCTCCTCCTCCTGCTCCTGCTCCTCCTCCTCCTCCTCCTCCTCCTCCTCCTCCTCTTCCTCCTCCACCTCCACCTCCTCCTCCTCTCAGCTTCTCCTCAACTGTTCCTCCTTCTCGTCCGCCTCTTTTATCCTCCTCCTCCTCCTCCTCCTCCTCCTCCTCCTCCTCCTCCCCAACTCTGCGCCTGCAGCTCGGCGACCCTCCTCAGGATGTGGTGGGTCTTCCCCACACCGTTCAACTCCGATGACACGGCCTCCAGCTGGCGCCCGTGGTACAGCTCTCCGACCTTGGATGGGGGTGGCGTAAGGAGGATGAGGAGGAGGATGAGGATGACGCGGACGAGGAGAGGGAGGAGGAGTGGGAGGAATAAGGGAACGTCTCATAACGCACCCCCCAGGAACGCCCCAGAGCCCCAGCCTGGAACCCCGTTCAAAACACCTAGTATCTTCGACAACCCTCCTCCACCTTCTACCATCTCCTCCCCCCCTCTTTCCTCCCACTCCTCCTCGTCCTCTTCCCCATCCCTCCATCTCCTCCTACCCCTCCCTCCGTTTCCCCCCCCTCCCTCCATCTCCTCTCTCCCTCTCCTCCATCTGGACCCCGCCCCCTCCCCCCGTATGCTCGAGTCTCGATGCTGCGGGCCTGTGTGCTCCGACTGGATGGAGCCCTTGCCCTGCCTACCACCACTGTCGCCCTGGCCGCTCCTTGGGAGGCCCACGGCGGAGCGAGAGGGGGACCGACGACCCCCCTCCCTGGCGCGCGGGGCGGCGCCCGAGGCGCCGCCAGGGGGGCCCAGCGCCGATGCAAGAAAGCTGAGAGGCCGTGCGAAGACTTCCGGTGTCAGGAACTGTTGCTTCGCCTCGCCATCGCTTGGACGTCTATCTCCTGTGTTTTTTTGTTCCGGTGTCGTGCGTCTTTTTTTTTTTGCTCGATGGTCCAGGATCGTCCTCGGTGGTTCTCGCCGAGGAACAAATGCACACGTCCGAGCGCTGCCAGGTCGCATCACGAACTGTCGCTTCGCATGCCGCCGAGGCGGACCCGGCGACACGCCATGCCCTGCGAGCCGATGGCGCGCCGCTCCGCTCCGCGGGGCTGGAGGCTCGGAAAGGCTCGCGATGTTGGCGTCCGTGGCGGGGGGCGTGGCCGGCGTGCCGCGCCGCAGCGCGGTGGGCCACACAGGCGGAGCGGCGCAAGATCCAAAAGTTCCCGGCCGCACCTTTGTTCCTTTTGCGCGTTCTCTCTCTCGAGGGTCAGGGCCCCGCAGACCTGGACACGCTAGACCCGCACACCCAACATCCCTCGAAACCAATGCTTCCAAACTGACTACCTACCAAACCACCCCAACCCAACCCGAAGACCCGAATTTGACCTGAATTTCGGGTTGGGGGGGGTACGGGTTCCATGTGTTTTTTCGACGTTCCCCGACCCCCCCCCACTGGAAATGGAGGGCAAATTGAGGCCTTCGGGTTGGGTTGGGGTGGTCTGGTAGGTGGTGACAAACGGCGGCACGAACAAGATACTGCACTGCAGCATTTCCAAAATAGACCCGGACACGGGCCTCGAGAGCCTGCAGGACCCTTCTGAGCCGGAGCACCATCCCGAAAATCCTGCAGTGCGGCAAACAAACCATGCACGGGGTGCTGAGAAGCGTAACTCTGCAGGAAAGGATGTCGTTTCCTTGGTTTTCCGTGTCCTGGTTTATCTTTGGCGCCCGAGTTATCCGGGGTAACTCGGGTCCGGGGTAACTCGGGTTTGGATTCCCGAAAAAGGAACCCGAGTTAGCCCTGACCCGAGTTACCCCTGATGATTCGGGGCTCTGGACGCCCGAACTATCCGGGGTAAGTCGGGTCCGGGGTAAGTCGGGTTCGGATTCCCGAAAAACGAACCCGAGTTATCCCTGACCCGAGTTACCCCTGATGATTCGGGGCTCTGAGATACTGCACTGCAGCATTTCCAAAATAGACCCGGACACGGGCCTCGAACGCCTGCAGGACCCTTCTAAACCGGAGCACCATCCCGAATCCTGCAGTGCAGCGAACAAGACATGCACGGGGTGCTGAGAAACGTAACTCTTTGCAGGAAAGGATGTCGTTTCCTTGGTTTTCCGTGTCCCGGTTTATCTGTGTCCTGGTCTCCGGGGGCCTGAGAGTAGAGGAAAAAGAACTATGCACATACACCGATTCTCGCCAGGCCCATCCTGAGCCCAGGATCGGTGCATACGCCCTCCTACCTTGGCCAGGGAGGCATATGCACCGATCCTGGGTCAAGGATGGGCCTTGCCAGGATCGGTGCATGTGCATAGTTCTCTTCGCCCGAAATAGACCCGGACACGGGCCTCGAAAGCCTGCAGGACCCTTCTAAACCGGAGCACCATCCCGAATCCTGCAGTGCAGCACACAAGACATGCACGGGTGCTGAGAAGCGTAACCTTGCAGGAAGGGGTGTCGTGTCCTTGGTTTCCCGCGTCCCGGTTTATCTGTGTCCTGGTCTCCGGGGGCCTGAGAGGGGTGGCCGCTGGTGGGACCGGCCGGCGTCGGTCGGCCACGGTGCCCAGCGGCGGCTGCGCCCGCGGGGGGCGCCGAGCCTCGGCGACAGGGCGGGGCGCCCGCTGTCGAGGCCCCCTCGCGTCGGGAAGCCATGTCCTGACGGTTTTCGGTGTGCTCGGCCTCCAGGGACCCTCGCTAAGCACCGAAAAAACAACTGCTCGGGACGAAAGCCGGTCCTGGGGAATGGGTCGAGGCCTCAGGGGGCTCGGAGCAGTGAATGCACCATGGCGTCGGGGGTCTGGGTGGGGGGCAGGTGAACGGATCGCCTTGCGCCCATGGAGCTCGGGAGGGCACGCTGGTGGGGGTCTCGACGACTTCGCACGTGCACGGCAGGTACACGAGATAAGAAGCCTAGAAATGAAAGATCTAGGGTTAGGTTGGGCGTGCCCCCCTACAGGCGCATTTTGGACGAAAAACAAAAATAAGACTTCAAAGTAAGGAAACACGCAAAAATAATACGTCAAAGTAATGAAAAATCAAAGTCGTCCTCAAAACTATGTTTGACTGTTCTTGAATAGTCATCTTGTAGAGGGGCACGGCCGACTTAGCCTAGAAGTGAGGGATCTAGGGAAACATCTGTCATCGATCCTCGAGCTTCACAAAGCGCCCCGCAGCTTCGGTGGGTCCCAAGGGCCACCGAGGGATGAGAGACAGTTCAGTGGGGCACCTGCTTGTAGGCTGGCTCCGTGACCCATGTGCTTACTGTAGACGGTCGCGCGCGGGCCTCGGGGGGCGTGACTCGCCGCCGCATCTGCGTTGAGGGCTGGTGGGTGCTTCTTTCTGTGGTCGTGGGACTGGGGCTTGGCAGCGGTGGCCCGCTTGTGGATGGCGAAGTCACGCTTCGGGCTGTGGTGGTCCAGTCGCCCGCTGCGCGCCACCTCCAGCGAAGTTTACCGCGCGTGCTGACAATCACGCTGGTTCTCGCGATCGCGCTGGACCAGCAGGCTTTCATACGTGATTCTCGCTTTGATCTGGGCGAAGAGGTCGATGTGGACCTCCACGAGCCGCTGGGCAGGCCCAGAATCCGCAAAGCAGCAGTACAGGTGGAGGCGCCAACGCCTTCGCCATGCCTCTGGCGAGCGTCTGCCTGGCATGGTCCTCTGTGGCGCACTCGAAGTGGCGCCAGGCCTGCTCGAGAGCCCGCCGAAGACACGTTCAGCGCGCAGGGAGGGGCACGCCGGACCGAATGTGAGCTCTGGCTTGTTTGTGTGTGTTGTGTGTATGCGTTGTTGCTGCTCCTGTTGTTGTTGATGTCGATGTTGTTGTTTGTTATGTGTTGTTGGTTGTTGGCTGTTGGTTGTTGTGGTTGTGGTTGTGGGTGTGGTTGTGGTTGTGGTTGTGGTTGTGGTTGTGGTTGTGGTTGTGGTTGTGGTTGTGGTTGTGGTTGATGTTGTTGTTGTTGTTGTTGTTGTTGGTATTGGTTTTACTGTTGTCGTTGCTGTTGTTTGTTGGTTGTTGTGTGCTGTTTGCTGTTTGTTGTGTGGTGTCGTCGTCGTCGTTGTTGTGGTTGGTGTTGTTGATGTTGTTGTTGTTGTTGTTGCTGTTGTTGTTGTTATCGTTGTGGTTAGTGTTGTTGTTATTGTTGCTGCTGTTGTTGCTGTTGGTGTTGTTGTTGTTGTTATTGTTGTTGTTGTTGTTGATGCTGTTGCTGTTGTTGTTGTTGCTGATGTTGTTGTTGTTGTTGGTGTTGTTGTTGTTGTTGTTGCTGCTGCTGTTGAATATTATTACTTCTAAAGAATAATTATTGTTGGGCCCCCTGGTGCACGCCCCCCCTGCGCCGCCTAGGCCGCAGCTACATTTTCATCATTTTCGTGAGGAAGCCTCAGGTAAAACGATGTGATCCAGATCCGGCTGTTTTGTTGTAGTCCGTTTTCCCTTGCAAAAAACACTATAAAATGACATTTCTTGTTCTAATATAATCAAATTTCAAGAATCCCTTGCAAAAAATAAGGTAAAGTGGACATTCGCGCGCGCAAGACGAAATCCTTCCAAAAGCTTAGTGTTCGGAGCGATTTTAACATAAAAACATCAAAAAACCAATGGTTTTTCAACAAAAAAATGTCAAAATCTCATCCCGCGCGCTCTTGCGGATTCGTAGGAAACCCAACACTTTTTAAACATTTCTGTCAAACGGGCTTTTGCGAGCAACTTTTTCGAACTTCTGCGACAACGGTTGCGCACCTGCCAGGGCCATCATCCCTGTCAAATAATACCATGCGGGACACATGTGTATCATGTGTATCATGTACCATATGCATCATATGCAACAGATGTTCTGTGGAAGGCTTAACAACTTCTGTGGGTTAACAAGGCTTAACAACTTCTGTGGGTGTACGAACGTAGGCTTAACAACTTCTGTGGGTGTGTACTCCACGCCAGTGTAGTAGCCACGGTCGTCCGCAGGCCACGAAGTGAAGTGTCCGAACGTCATAGGGCGGGAAGCTGGGTGTGGGTGGTGGCGAAGAGTCGTGTGGATATTTGGTAGAGCTTGCACTGCCCCCCCACAAAGTGGGGGTATTGGCTGGCGTCGCATGAAAACCCTGGCACTGGTGAGAACACTGAGCGTTCGGGTAAAGTGATTGTTGTTGTTGTTGTTGTTGTTGTTGTTGTTGTTGTTGTTGTTGTTGTTTTTGTTTTTGTTGTGTGCGTTTGTGTGCGTTTGTGTGTATTTGAGCAACATGGCTTCCCTCCACACCCGCCGCCCCTTCCCGCCCGCCCGCCTCCTCCCCCGCTCCCGCGTTCCCGAGGGCTCGTGTTTCACCCCCCAAGCCCTCCGCGCTTCGCCGGCTCCGTCCCTACCCTTGCCATCGCTCGGACGTCCATCCCTCGTGTGTTTTGCGATGTCGTGCGTGCTTTCTTCGCTAAGTCATCCAGGATGCTCCTCCATGGTCCTCGCTGAGGAAACATGCACACGTCCGAGCGATGCCGAGTCCCCCCTTCCTCAGCCTGGAGGTGGCGGTGGCTGGCGCGGCGCGGCGCGCCCCGCCTTGCTCACGGCCTGGCTGAGGTGCTCCCGCGGGAGCGCGCCCGCCGCCAGGCTGTGCTGGCGCAGCGCGTTGGTCAGCATCTGGTCGGGCCTCCCGCTCACGAAGACCAGGGCGCTGGCCTGAGGAGCACAGGCGGCGGCGAACAGGGGTGTCGGCGGGCTGGGGGGGGGGGGGGCGGCGGAGCTTCGGGTGACCCAAGAGGGGGTCCAGCTGAAAGGGGCTGGTGCAACAAATGTGGGGCAAGTGTATTGCAAATTGACTGCGCCGGAGAATCGTGATGCATTGTATCGCAAGTAATGTATTGCACGCGAAAGTGCAGCAATACATTTGCGCCCCGAAATGTATTGCACGCCCCAAGTGTATTGCAACACCACAAATCTATTGCACCAAATCTATTGCACTGCCCCCCCTGTCGCTGGACCCCCTTTTCGGTCAACCCGAGGAACGGGAGGACAAGGGAGGAGCAGAAGAGTGCGGAGTGGCAAGGGAGCAGGGGGGAGGAGAAGGAGGAGGAGTGAGGAGGAGGAGGAGGAGGAGGAGGAGAAGGAGGAGGAAAAGAAGGAGAAGTAGGAGCGAGGAGGAAGAGGAGGAATACCTGTTTTTGGACGCCGAGGCCGAAGGGGGGGGGGCGGGTAGGAGGAGGAGGAAGAGGAGGAGGAGGAGGCGGAGGAGGAGGATGAGGAGGATGAGGAGGAGGAGTTCTACGTGGCCGCGGTGCGGCCAGTGGGCTGGGCCTGCGGCTCGGCAGAGGATGCCGAGCGAGGCGCGCCAAAGCCCGCCTGCCGCTCGCCGTCTGCCGCCCGCCTGTCGCTCGCTCGCCTGCCGCTCGCCGCCTGCCGCTCGCCGCCTGCCGCGCCGAAGCCCGCCTGCCGCTCGCTCCACCCGTCCGGGCCGCCTGCCGCTCGCCGCCTGCGCGAGCGATGCCGCTGCCCCTCCAGCGGCTGGCGGCCTGCCGCTCGGGGCCGCCCCTGCCTCGCCGAGCCCCCGGCGCCCGACGAGGCACCCGCCGCGCGGCTCTGCGGCCCCCCCTCCGCTCGGGCAGCCACGAGGCTGAACGCGCCGCGGCCTGGCCGAGACGAAGCAGGATGGATCGAGGATCTCCGAGAGCGGGCAGCTCTGGAGCCTGCCTCGGGCGCCGCGGCCTTCTCAGAGCGTCCGCGAACACTCAGAGGGCGTTCTGGGACGCTCTGGACCGGATCTATCCTCGTCCTAGCCCCGTCCGACTGGAGAGAGGAGGAGCGAGGAGGAGGAGGAGGAGGAGAAGGAGGAGGAGGTGAGGAGGAGGAGGAGGAGTGAGAAGGAGGAGAACGACGAGGAGGAGGAGGAGGAGGAGGAGGAAGAGGAGGAGGAGGACGAGGAGGAGGAGGAGGAGGAATCTCCGCGCCGAGCTCGCGCGCGAGGAGGGCGCCGGCCGCTCGCAACCGGCCCCACTCGGCGAAGTCCCGGGCTCCACCGCTGGGGCTGCTCTTGGCCCTCTGCCGCCTCCGCCTCTGCGCCCAGCTCGCCCGCTTCGCCCCCCCCCGCCCCCAACGGCTCTGCTTTTGGCCTCTTGGGAGTGTGCTCCCGGCCCCCTCCTCCTCCTCCTCCTCCTCGTCCTCCTCCTCCTCGTCCTCCTCCTCCTCTTCCTCCTCCTCCTCCTCCTACTCCTCCTCCCCCTCCCCCTCCTCCTGCTGCCGCCTGGAGGGGCAGCGCTGGGGGGTGCTCCTGCGGGCCCCCGCCGCCACGGGTCCAGCACGCATGTGCCCCGTTGCTCACGTGGCCCTGTCCTCTGGGTCGAACGCCTGGTCGCCCTCGTAGCCCCGCTGGGGCGTGTTCCTCGTCGCCCTCGTAGCTGCGCGTTTGCTTTGGGGCGTCTTCCTGGCCGTTCTCGTCGCCTTGTTGGCCTTTGGGCGCGTGCTGTTGGCCGTGTTGTTCTGTTGCGGGTTGTTTGTGCGGGCCTCCACCACCTCAGGCACAAAACCATGTTGTTCCGAAATTACGTTGGTTATCTGGGTTGTGCTTCTGGCCGCCAGCGGGGGAGGAGGAGGAGGAGGAGGAGGAGGAGGAGGAGGAGGAGGAGGAGGAGGAGGAGGAGGAGGAAACGAAAGAGGACGATGAAGGAAGAGGAGAAGGAGGATGTTACTGTTGCGCGCTGGCGCAAGCTTGCTAAGCCTGGGCGCCCGATCCGCTATTCGCTGATTCGGCACCGCGGCTTGTATTGCAAAGGTCCGCGGAGGAGGTGAGGAAGGACTGCTCAAGGACAACGATACGTATACTTTCGTGAGACCATGTGCAACGTGACCAAACCATCCTCTCCTCCTGGATGTTACTCTTCCTTCCCCCTTTCTTCCGCCTCGTGCTCCCCTGTCCCCCCTCTTTTCCCCCTCCTCCCTCTTCCTGTTCAAAGCCGACCGCCCCGAAGGCCATTCCAATAGCGCGCTTTGACTAGAATCTGGAAGCGGACGCAACGAAACCCCCAGGGGAGGTAAAACAGGAATGGCTATCCTTTACTTCTGGTTTTCCCTCCTCCAGTTCCTCCAGTTCCTCCTCCTCCTCCTCTGCCCTCCTCATGCCTCCTCGTGTTCTCTATCTTCTTCCCTCGTATTCGTCAGTATCATCCGTACCTCCCCACCTCCTCATCGTCCTTCCCCTCCTTCTTTGCCTGTCCTCATCCCCGTCCCCCCTTCCCAGGGCCATCATCATCATCATCATCATCATCATCATCATCATCATCAGCATCATCATCATCATCACCATCATCATCATCATCATCATCATCATCATCATCATCATCATAATCGTCATCGCCATCGTCATCGGCATCATCATCAACACGACCATCAGCATCAGTATCATCATCACCATTACCACCATCATCATCAACATCATCATCGTCATCATCATCTTCATCACCATCATCCTCCGCCTCTTCTTCTTCTTCTTCATCATCACCATCATCACCGTGATCATGATGATCATCACCACCTGTTACACCCCATGCAACCCCTCTTGAATATGTCGGGCACCACGGGCGATGCCACCGAGAGGCGCAACAGGCGAACCAAACAACCTGTGCAGGCAAGGAGGAGGAGGAGGAGGAGGAGGAGGAGGGAAACCAAGGACCACCACACCAAACCACAACCGAGGAGGAGACCCAGACGCCAGGGAGGAGAGGGACGGCCAGAACGAAAAACTAGAGCAGACGCGGCAACGGAGCAGTCGCGACGGCCTTCTGCGAGTCAGAGCTGGGACGCGCTAGCACTGCCATCTCCTGCTGCACCCCCCCAGGCCCCAGTTTGCGTGGCGGGCGTCCTGGGAGATTCCACAGGAGAGCGCAGCGGGCGAACGAGACGACTCATGCAGGCATAGAGGGATAGGAGGAAGAGGAGGAGGAGGAGGAGGAGGAGGAGGAGGAGGAGGAGGAGGAAATAAGCAAATAAGTAAGATCCTCGGCGAAGAATAAAACAAACGGGTACAGTCGACTGGTTCGCTTCGATGGGCGGCACATGTTACGGGCTGCAACTAGTCTGGTTTGCTGACACTTGTGAGAAACCCACTCGGCCCCCCATGCGACCCGCTAGGGGAACCAAGGGTGCCAAGGGGGGCAGCCAACGCGTGTGAAACCGAGTGGGGGAAAACCGCTGGGACCAACGAGCGGGGCCCTGCAAGCAGCCACAGGCGGACGGGGACTCACAGGCCCCTCCCATCCCCCCGCGGCGCGCCTGCCGAGGCACCCTTTCCCTTGCCCCCCTTGCTTCCCCCTCGCGCTTTGGGTTTGGGCCGGCAAACTGGAGGAGGGATCTGAGGCGGTCACTGCTCGTCACAGCCTGTACTCAATTGGGTCGGGCCCAACCCAGCTACACCTTGGGGGTAGCGCGGTGACACCGCATGCCTGGCAAGATCTGGACGGTCACCAAACATAAGTTGCCAGGCGCGCGTTGGTCTTCAGATGCTCATGCCAAGGCGCGGGCCATGATGCGTACTACTCAACGCGGGTCAGTCATGCCGAGCCGCCCTCGAGCTTGTTCGCGAGCGCCCTCGCGCCCCGCTCTGGGACTCCCTTCGGCGCTGCGCCCGCCGAGATCTCCGCCCAAGTGACGGACGAGCTCGAGGCGGAGGATGCGATCGAGGTCCGCTCCGGCCTGGCTGCTCTGGTGGACGGCCTGGTTCAATCGCACCTTGCCATCCATGCGTCTGGACTTCCTGTGTCACGCCCTGCCGCGGAGCACTCCAGCGCGGAAGCCGCAGACCCTTCTGCCATCTCCTTCGGCTCTGGCTTCGTCACGTTCTCCTTCCAATACGTCATGAGCGCGTTCCTGCTGCGGCCTTCTCCGTCTCTCGCGGATGCAGGGCGTGTAAGAGTCCTTCCACGCGCGCAGGCGCGGGCTGCCCAGCGACGCTGCGTCCACGCTGTCGTCCGTTTGGGGGAGCTGTGGGAGGTTCGGCACCTTCCTGGACTATGCCTTGCCTGCCTCGAACGCCGCTTCGACGAGAGGAGACGCCACGGACGCCAAGGCCGCCGTGGAGTCTACGGTGATGACCACTCCGAGGTCGCCCGCCACGCTGAGCACTGGCTTGCCGAGCGGCGCCACGTGCTCTTGCGCCACCTGCGCCCTGGGCGCTCCTCGGCACGCTGTGCCTCGCGCTGCTTCGAGCAGCTCCTCCTGCCCGGGTTCCTTGTCTGAGGCTGGCCGTCCGCGCTGACCTTTTTTCTGCAGGGCGTGGGGATGGCTCGCCGAGGCCTTCCATGACATTGGACTCGTCCTCCTCCATAGCGTAGATTGTTCCCCGCTGTGGCTGGTTCCCTGATATCGGGCTGATATGGAAGATGTCGGGCAAGGCGCTCTCGGACTCGAGCCAAGAACCAGCGACGTACTCGCATCCTCGACGCTCCAGGAATCTCGGTCATTCGACGACTGCGACCGTTCTGGCCATTTCAATAACGCAGCATCCTCTATGTGGTGTTCGGGCGAGATGCCTACGCGCCGAAACCAGCCATGCAAATACTGTTTCACCTGCGAAGCGCTGGTTCGTGGGAGTCAAGAAGGAGCAGATGTTCACGACGCGGTGTACTTGGCCAGCGTGAATTCGACATGCATGTCTGAATGACAACTGTCGACCACACGCCTTCCCTTCCACTTCCACCTGTCACGTGAAGACCTCCTCCTCCTCCTCCTCCTGGATCTCTCAGGTGACCCGCTGCTCCCGAAAGTCATGCCCTGGTGGGCCCAGTGGCCTACCAGTTAGGGCGTGGGTGTCGTGCCTAAATCCCTGGGCCCTGACACCCTCAGCGCTGATTTGTCACAACTCTCCCCTCCACTGCGGTCTCTCGAGCCATGCCACCGAATGGGGACCCGCATGCTCTCGCAACGCCTGGGCCTCTTCTGAGCTGTTCACGGGCGCTCCCACAACAGCCGGAGCTCGTTTGGCCCAAGGATTGGCACAACCATGAAGAGAATCATCACACGCCACCGTCGAATAAGACGGTCCACTGATGGCACCGAAGACCGCCGCGAAGAACTGGCCGTTGTTCGGGATATGCGCTGCCGCCTGCTGCGTCCACGCCAATCGCCGCACCCTCGCCGCGACCCCGGCTATCATTGCCCTTCAATGGGCCAGTGCTTCATGATTGGTGTGGGCCCTCACCGTGCCGTCTTCCTTTCATGTGCATGCTCTTCTTCTCATTGCAAGCCGCGTCAAAACTGCTGCCGCATTGTCAATGGCTTCATACTGCCGCTCTGTCGGTAAAAAACGGCCGCTTCTAAAAGCACTGCATGCACAGCCCTGCCAATGAGAACCGCCCTTCGCCAGCCGCACTCCAGAAAGAACCCATGGACAAGAACGCCGCTTTCGCCGCATGCAGCCTCTTGCCCAGCTCCATGCCAACCCCCGGCGCGCCCATGATGATGAGGCCAAGGTGGCAGGCGTGATCGACCAGCGTTCCCCGCCGCATGCTTCTGCCTTTGCCTTACACAGACCCCGCCGTTCTCTAGAACTGCCCACAGGCACTGGAGGAAGGAAAAGCCAACGCCAACGAAGCGTCGTCGTCGTTGTCGTCGTGTCGCTGTCCCCCTCGGGGGCCTGGGTAAACTAACAGGTACCGACATCGCTACTCCCCGGATCTCTCCTGGGGTGCGTTCTGACAAGGATTCTGAGGCGAATCCAGCGGTGGCGACGATGGAGGCCCAGGAGGCCAAGAAAGGGTAAACGAGGGGAGAGTAGAAGTATGGGTACCTTCTCCTCCTCTGAGGGCCGGCCTGCTCGAAGCCGAGCCGCTCCCGCAGCCGCCGCAGCGCCTCAACCGCGCCGCACTGCACCGCGTAGGGCAGCAGGTGGGCGCCCCCGACGCAGTACAGCAGCCCCTCGCCGCGGAGGGCCGGCAGCGCGCGCAGGAGGAGGAGGAGGAGGCGGAGGAGGAGGAGGAGGAGGAGGAGGAGGAGGAGGCGGAGGAGTAGGAGGAGGGGGTGGCGGAGGAGGAGGTGGAGGAGGAGGAGGAGAAGGAGGAGGAGGGGGGGGCGGAGGAGGAGGAGGAGGAGGACGAGGAGGAGGAGGAAACGGAGGAGGAGAGGGCCCAAGGAAGCACCAATCCGCCACCGCGCTGGCAGTGGCCGGCGTGCCTCGGGCCACGTTTCATCTTCCAAGCGAAAAAAGCCAGTCGTGAGGGCCCCTCGACGCCTCCGGCCCAAGATGCGTTCCCTGTGGTGGCGGCCTCCCTGCGTGCTTTTTTGTTGCCTTCCTGGCAGGAGAGGGTCCCAAAGAAGCAGCCTTAGGTCGGGCACGTCCCCCTGCAGGCGGATTTTGGACGAAAATTAAAAACCAAAAAGTACCCCAAAACAGTCAACGCATCACGGACAAATCATCCCCGCACGATTTTTAGACTATTCTTCACTTGTCCTCCTGTAGAGGGACAGGCCCAACTTCAGCATAGCCTGGGGCAGGGGGCGTTCGCGGACCCTCCCTCCCCCTCCCCCTCCCTCCCCTCCCAACCAAAGGGGCTCCTCCCCCCCCCGCCCGCACGTGGGCGGTGCAGCGCCCGCCCGAGCGCGATGGCGGAAGCGCGCGGCAGCGCAACCGGATGAATCGACGCAAGATGTCAGGGCTCCCAGAACTCCTGGGGAGGCCTGGTAGCAACGGCCCTTTGGGGCTGCGGTGAGCAGGACAGCGCGCGTGCACGCCCATCGCGCCAAGCCAACACTACGACGAAGCTCACTCGAGACATCGCTCGCCCCCTGACCCCCCCGACCCAGCGTTGACAGCGGCGCGCGGGAGGCAACGCTCGAAGGACAAACTGTGGGCGCTTCACCTTTGGGTTTGGGTGGAAGGGGGCGGGACATACGTTAGTATTGAACACCAAGGTGGAAAGCCTGGGCGCGAACAACGTAATTACGGGTACCCCTCGTATGCTCGGGTCACTGCCAGCCCGTTGGAGGCAGCAGGGGGGTCTGAACTGGATGGGGCCCTAGAAATGAAACCAAGAGGGGGGGGGGGACGAGGCAAAATCCGCTCAGAATCGATCCCTGACCTCTCCCAGGGTCCAGCTAGTGAAGGGTTTCACCCCAAATCGGGGATCTTCTGACCCGGGTCAATCCAGACCTGGGTCAGTCAGACCTTGCAAAATCCTGCACGATCCCGCAAGATCCTGCACCCAAACCCCGGTCAACGCGAAGGATCCTGCGAGATCCTGCAGGATCCTGCACTCAAACCCGGTCCGTGCGACCCTGGCCCGGATCCTGCAAGATCATGCGCTCTGGCAGACCCCCGTTTGCATTGACCCCCGTCTCAAGGCTCCCGACCAGATCTGCTGCTGACCGTCCTGGGGCCCGCTAACGGCCTCCAGAGGCTGAGCAAGGCAATAGATCATCCTCGAGCCCAGAGCCTCGAAACTCGCTCCCACCCCTCCCGTTCGCCTGAACCTACAGGGCAAGTTTTAATACATGGGATGTTGAAAACTATATGATTTTAATACATGATTAGTTGATGAATAAACTTATGCATGAGCTCATCGTTGTTTTTAATACTAAGTCCCTGCATTTTCAATACATGGTCCGCGCGCGGAGCATGTATAAAAAACGGCACTGTATGCTGGGCCACCTCAGACCCCCAGCCAGCCTCAAGCAACCCTCGCATGCCAGCTGATGCGTGCGGACCTCAGAAAGCTCATGTCTATGCAGTTTGCTGTTCCTCGAGTCGGTGGTTGAAAAACGCCTCGAGACCTGAGGGATGGGGTCCTGAGGACGAGGTGCCTCAAACGATGTGAATGCACCCCTGGCCCCTTCCTTATCCACAGGACCCCATCCCTCAGAACCCCGTCTTTGAGCCACCGACCCTGACATGCGACGTGCTGATGTTTTCAGGACGGCGTCCCTGGAAATCCTGACCCTTTTCCTCGGGGCCTGGTTTTCGGCCTGAGTCCTTTTGTTGACGGTCCCGTGGCCAGGCGAGGGCCCCCCGGGGCAGAAACTAGCCAAAAACCTGGGAATGCACCCTTGGACCCTTCCCTATCCTCAGGACCCCATCCCCGTCTTCGAGCCACCGGTCGAGGCGCCCCTCCAGTGCTCGGGGTCATTGCGAACCCTCTCGTTCGCGCGCTGGCTGCGCGGGTGCGGGCGCACGGCCGAGGGCGTACGGCCGCAGGCCGGCGCGGCTCCGCAGGGGGGTGGGCGAGGGCGCGGGCTCCGGCCGAAGCCTGCGCGCTCCCCCGAGGCGCCGACCGCAGCACCTCGCCGTTGGCAGAGACAGCTTTCGGTTTGCTGCGACTTGGCTCTTACATCTGTTCTGCGATGACGGCCGATCGTCGAAGAAGAAACAACGCGATAAACAGAAACTGTTGGCGCTCCGCGCGGATTTCTTGGATCTGCGCTGGACTCAACTTCCTGGCGCGCGGAGCGCGCAAGGGGCGGCGCCAGAGGCGCCGCCAGGGGGGCCCCAGAGCAGATCCAAGACATCCGCGCGGAGCGCCAAAAGTTTATGCTTATGGCACTTTTTCTTCTTCGCTTTGAGCTGACCTTCCCACTTCGCTCAGCCCCCGTGTCTGCCCGCGCGCACCAGGTGCCGCGTGCTCCTTTTCCGACCTGCGCAGCCAGCAAGGTCAAGTGACCCGGGTAGGGCAGGGAGGCGGGCGGGCTCGATAACCAGGGCTACCGCTGGGTCCCCCCTGTCTGGCAGCCCGTCGCTGGGTTGGCTGCCTCGCAACTCCTCTCCCCTGCACGGCGACGCGGGCAGGTGCGCGCGCGTGAGGCTGCTGCGCTGGGCTGTCTGCAAGAGGGTTGTGGTCTACGAGGGAAAGGCGGATGAGGGAAGGAGCCCTCCTAGCTCTTACGAATCGATTGGGGGATCGACTACATAATGAATTTATCCCAAAACTGATTTCCCATCGAATCTACGAAACATGATTGCCTACAATGCTCTGTAAATATACGGACCTTTCTACGTACATTCCTCCTGAGTTTGACGAGGAAATCAATTCTGGGGACATGGGGACAATCAATTATGTAGTCGATCCCCTATCCGGAAGAAACCTTCTTACAAGCCTCCGGGCCCTACTAGGAAGGCCATGCCTTCTGAGAAGCGCCAAGCCCTCTCAGAAGGCCCCCCCCCGCGCCATTGCCCTGCTCGCGCTGCCCATAGATGGGGTCCGAGTACGGCTGCCTTGTGTTGTGCCGACTTCGGCGTTGGTTGACGCCGCGGAGATCGGTCAACCGCGAGTGACTGGCCGTTTTTAGACAAGCGCGATCCAGGATTCCACGACTCGCAAAGTAAATACTCGTACATGGCCTGGCTCCGCCGCGAAGGGTTTATGATCCATTCCATTGGAGGCAGGTCTGTGTTTTTTTTTCGGACGTCTGCGAGAAGGCACTTTGCGAGCAGTGGAACGCGCCCGGTGAGTTCCGGAAGCGTCAGATCGTTCAACATCGACCGATTCTGGGAGGCCGGCGGCGTTCGACGCTGGATGCCGGCGGCGGGGTCACCGCCGTTCCACTCACACATCCCCGGAATAACATTCACCGCACCAAATAATAAAGAGGCTGGTTCCCAGAAGAATGAGCAATTTCCTGGAGCTCTGTTTTAGCAGCCACGGGGTTACCAGCCTTCGCCTGACTCCTGACCCTCATAACGCGAACCTGCCGTAGATGGTCACAGAGGATCCCGCCGCCGA